CACAGCAGAATCGTGCTGTCTAAACAGCCTTGGGCCTGTGTAAGACCCTCCAGGAGAGAGGGGATGTTTTTTTTATCAGCCCTGTTAAGAATGTTATTTTACTGCATGACCTGTTTGTGAAGCCTCTATTCCCTCTTTGAACTAGGTTTCTTCTTTGGTTATTGTGCAAAGGAAGCTTTATTTTGACATCTGTATTTCTTATCTCTTGCTGTAACAGATCTGGCTTTACCAACTTCTGTTTATTTTGAAAATCAGTAAAGATTATAAAATGTAAATAATTGGGATAGTCTTGTTGGCATAACTTCATGACAGTAAACTTGACATTATTAACTAATGTAAGGCATTTGTATTTGGGCAGGATGAGAAATACATCCATATCGACGAAATGGAAATGATGAAAGTAGAAAAGTGTGTTAGTGAAGTTGTAGAGTGGATGAATAATGCTGTGAGTGCACAGGCTAAGAAGAGCTTAGATCAGGATCCAGCTGTGCACTCAAGTGAAATTAAGGCAAAGCTACAGGTAAGTACCATAAGAAACTAATTTTAGAGGCTGGTGCTAAACCTAGACTGATACGTTCCCCTTCCTCTCCCCCAATGTCATCTTACTGCTCCAGTTTTCTTAAAGGGTAGTTAAGAAGTATTGGATGGGAGATTCGGTAGAAGGCAGAGAAGCTGTGTACAATTCTGTGGAGCTTATTGACATTTCATGCTTTCAGACATTGCAGGTGGTTTTTCAGAGTTACTGGTAGGCACAAAATAGTCTTGGAAAAAAGCCAATGTGAAATCCAAAGTACTACGCTGAAGAACTTTGCCCACAGAAGTTCAGAAAGTAGATCAGTTAATTTATTTCAGGGCACAAATAAGTACTTGTCAGCTTGGACTTGGGAAACAAATACAGAAGCAAGTTTCAAATGGTCTTTTGGGCACAGGACTCTTCACGCTAGTGAAGAGTGGTGGGTCCTTAATACATATTCTGACCACATCTTTTTTCCCTTTAGGAGTTAAACAATGTCTGTGAGCCTGTTGTAACACAACCAAAACCAAAAGTTGACTCTCCTAAGGAAGAAAACCCATTAAATGAGCGGAGTGATTATAAAACTGAAGACATGGGAGAAGAAGATGACAAAAATTCTGAAATGCCTCAACAAAATGGCGAATGTCATCCGAGTGATCAAAACACCATTAGCATGGACTTGGACTAAACTACTGCACTAGCAGCAAGTTACTTCATCCCATGACAGAAGATATTTTTGCTGTCATATGTGATGGGAGGGTGGGAATGCATTGTTTTGGGAACTATTTATATTTTTTTCTTAAGATTTGTCTGGGATATGTTGTGTTATGGGAGGAAGAATAGTAATAGTGTTGGTCGTGACTATCCTAAAAAGAAAATTGCCTTGGTAACTTTCAGATTCCTGTGGAATTGTGAGTTCATACTAAGCTTCTGTGCAGTATTTAACCATTTGCATCACTAAAGATGAAAAGAAGCCCTTGCTCTGAAATATACTGCTCCTTCAAAAGGTTGTAATCGAAACCTTCGTAGGCATTTGTAGATGCCAAGGTAGTTTTCTTTCATCTGGACATCTGATTGGGTATGTCAATAAAAAGCCAGTGTCTGCCCTGTGCATAAGGACTTTCCAGAAGAAATCCTTCTGTTCTAAGGTTTTTGATGATTGCAGTCCAAAGCACTTACCAGATAATAAGATGGTGAAATGTGTTAGTAGCATGCAGAAACGCTTACGTTTCATCTCTTGCTAAACAATACATTTTTCATGTGGGGTACGTAAAATGAAGGAAATGCTAATTCTGTTAGTGTTATTGTGAAGCTTTTTAATGAGCTTTAAAATAAAGTTCACTTTACTGGTATCTCCTGACTTCTTTGCTTCGGCTCTTTTCAGTACTTCTGGTGTAAGTGTTGCTCTTCTCAGTTTGTGACAGAACATTGCTTTGTGATCCTGGGCGCGAGGGTCATAAAAAGGCTTAAAACTCTCACACCTAGCACAGAACAGTTGTGCAGTGAGTTGAAAGTAAGTTAACTGCTTAACAAGTTAGGCCTCTTTCTTTTCTTTGCCCCAGGGGCTGTACACACCTGAAAGAACCCAGAAACTTCACAGATGTTAAGGCATAGGACAAAATTTGTAACACACAGAACCCTGTAACCTAGAGAGGGTAATCTTCAGTTCAGAATACAATGTTAAAACCTGATTGAATACTCAGGCTTGGCTCTGCTGCCTCTTGTTACAGACTCAACTGAAATCATAGAATCATAGAATGTTTTGGGTTGGAAGGGACCCCTAGAGGTCATCTAGTCCAACCCCCCCACAGGAGCAGGGACACCGCTAAGTAGATCAGGCTGCTCAGAGCCCCGTCCAACCTGGCCTTGAATGTTTCCAGGGATGGGGAAAAATGGTAAAATGATACTTCAGCCCATTCTGCTGAGCAAGTGGCTCTGGTTAGACCTTGGTAAAGTTTTGGAAATGAAGAATTCCTCTCAAGTAAATCTCTGTAGTCTATTAAAGAAGCTTATTTTTAGGCACTTGGAGCAGGGAAGGATGCTGAAAGAGATTGTTTGTCCTCTGCTTTAGGCATCAAATGACACCAGGGAATCAGGCACCTGACATCCCAAGGGAAGGATTTTTCTTGGAAGGGTATTCCGAAGGGTGCATAGACCTTATATAGAAGCATATGACTCCAGATGCTGGGGGATCAGTGTCACTAAATGCAAAGTGTGGTGGTGGGCTTTGGTTTGGGGGGTGTGTGTGTTTTTGTTTTTCCTTAAAGAGTTAGTGTGCCTCCAGCAGTATTGTCTGCAACAACAAAACCAAAAGGAGAAAAGAGACATTAGTCCTGCTGGAGCTACTGAAGAGGGAGTACAGGTGAGAGGACCAGTGCTTTCTAGGGACAACTAATCCTATGCATGGCAAGTGTTTTTCTTCTAGTTGGTGCTTTTAGCAGCACCCTGAGTCTTCTCACAGCCGGGGGCAGGAGCAATGCTGCACTGTGTGCAGCTTCCCACAGCAGTGCCCAATTTTCTACATTGACTACATAAGCAACTGGATTATCAAAATGCAAATCCCCGTTATTGGCTGCTTTGAGCTGCCTGTTCTTTACCTCTGCTGATTCGTTACAGTTGTATACAGTGGGCAATGCTAAGAATACTTTGTTCCCCGTCCTCTCCCTAGAGCTAAAGAAAAGGAAGTCGGACAAGACTTTAAAACCACACTTGGAGTGTTGTAAGAGTGCTTTGCTTCTGTGTTGGTACTGGTAGAATGGTAGCATCAAGGGTTAAATGTAACAGCCTACTGCTTGTTTAGATTATTGCTAAAATGGAAATTACGGTTCTAGCACCATAAAAGATAAGAACTTACATTGCAAAATCAGTAGGGTGCCATAGCAGGAAGCTTAGCCTGATCAGAGGAAAACATTGTATAGATATTTGAAGTAGAATTCTGTCAGAACATCCAGTCCTGGATCTACAAAAAAGAAGCTTTGCTGGCCCTGGAGTGATGGATCATGTGTTCAGTTACCTCTATAGAAGGTACTGTTCTAATTGTCCTCTAATGAATCTTCATAAAAGAAGTCTGCACTGAGAACAGACAAATCTGGTTTTGGGGGGCTGGGTTGGGTTTTTTTTCAGATTCCTGGAACATTAACTATTTCATAGCAGCTGATGGTGTGGTGACTGATCCCTTATGATTAAGTTGCTTATTTTAAATTCTTACAGTGCTTGTGCTCTAACCTGAGGGGGGGGGGAACGAAAGCAGAAATGAGTGATTCAACTTTTCCTCCTTTCCCCTCCCCCCGTTTTAATGAATTTCTTGCTGTCTAATTTGCCTTTTACTGGACGCATGTCACAGGGAGCTGAAGATGTTTGGGATGGCAGTTTCCATCATGCTGCAACGTACCAGAAGAACACTCGGAGGCACAAGGCATAGATCGCTGCCCAGTTTAATCTTACTGGCACAGGGGTGTAGGGGCCTTACCGTGTTACTGACTAAATATTGCACAAAGGGTTGAATCTCTTTTTTTTCCTTCCTGAAGAAGAAAACTTGATTACTCTAAACCAAGCTTTTGGAATTGTTTTGATGGAGTATTTTGGATAGTGTGTGTTAAGTAGTTACATTTACTTACAATGCACTTCTCTAAGTTCCCAATTTTACTTAGGCCTTCACAACTGTTTTGCTAATAGGGAGAATCTACATCAGTAGTCAATGTATTTTTATTTTACTGGTTTTATCAAGTTGTGTTCTGAGATTCTTTGGACTCCGCTTCTTTTAAGGATCCTAGAAAACTGTCTAATAAATACAAACCTTTATCTCTTATCCAGAAATCTGTATACAAGAGGTAAAATCCCCACTAAAAATGTTCAAGGATGTGGGTGGAAAATGCTCAAAAAGCACTTACTCAGACTGCCTTATTGGGTCATTGTTAACCTTAGTTACATATATAAATATTCTTTAATTGCCATTATCTTCCTGATATAACAGATGTGTAAATTAACTCTGTCTTTAAAATAAAGTTTATAAGCTCACAACTCACATGAAATTGCCTGAAATTCAATCTTTCTGTAATTCTGCATCTTAGATGATTCAAATTTATGTAAAATACATGAGACTTACCAGAACTGTTGTGTTTTACTTTGCTGTTATGTTTTTTTCAAAAGGTTTAGTGGAACTAAAAATTGTGAAATGATGCACAGTCACTAGATTATTTTTTTTAAATATTTTTTTTAAGTATTTTGAGCCACTAAGAGCTTAGAACCACAAAAAGATAAGGACAAAATAAATAATAAAAAAGGTAAAATCTTAAATTTACTTTTATCTACTATATAAGGGTTTGATCTAGAGTGTTTTGATGGACTGACAGTGCATAGACTGACTACTATTGAAGTTCAAATGGTGCGTTTTGACACTCGGTCAGGTATCTTTCCCCTCACTGAAATATTCCTTTTATTATTTACTGCTTCTCCCATTTTTGCGATAGGTTTTAGTTTCTTCATTGGATGTACATGATGAAAATGATGGAGCCAAAATAAGATAATCGCTCTGGAAAAACAAATACACTCGCTGCACGTATAATGAAGCTTTCATTTATCAGATGGTAGTCTAATTACATCTCATGCTGAATTCCATCCTTTTGTTCCTTAGCCTGTTGTAGGAAATGCAAAGACATGCCATGCCCTGAGTGCACCATCTTGGTTCCATCCCTTGTTTCACGGGAGGAGGCAAAGTGCAGGCGCTGGAGACCTTGCCTGCCGTGCAGAGAAAAGCTGCTGCCGCTGCACAAACCTCAGGCACAGGCTTCCCCCGAGCTTTGGGTTGCTGGTCTGAGTTGAAGACTTGCAGGACAGAAGATCCTTCTTCTAGCGCTTAGGGCAGGCTGGTCTGGGGTGTTTCCAGGATGCAGGAGTAAATCTCCCAGGGCTCAGCCTGGCCAATGATCCTGGGGCGGTGAGGAGGGAGGGAGGGAAGGTCACCCTGTAAAGAGGTGCATAAAGAGGACTCATCTCAAAGCTCAGGGTCATACCAGCTTTACAGCTGGTCGGCAGTCTTCAGTGAACTTCTGGGGAGAGGAGGAGCAGAAAGCGGGTTTGCAACGTACACATAACAGAAAGCTCAAACAGCAAAAAGCATTGCTGTTTCAAAGAAGCTATAAAGGAAGGACTTTTGAAGCATTGCTATGACTGATTTTAGGCTCCTGGCTCTTTATTCACATGAATTACGGCTATTGGTTCTCTTAACTCTGTAGGTGAGGATACTGGACTGCCAGGTGAGTGCCTAAATTTGAGTGGAGGTTTTAACTTCTCTGTTACAGCTGAGCACCTGATTACCAGGGTATCTACCGCTCTGGCACAGATAAGGTTTGTGTCCTACACATGTATTTCTGTATTTTGTATTTCCCCATGATTAAGCCACAGCACAGCTCTCTGAAAAATATTCCAAAAATAGATGTATGTTTATGTAATCTTCCAAGTCAGATGTTGTTTATTCTATGGACCTTGGATCAGTCCCCCAAACTGGTATTGATTTCAGTGGATGTTTGTTCAGATAGTTTTCAGCTAACATTCAAAAGTGATGAAGGGGACAAAACTGTATAGAAGAAAATAGGATTTAAGCACAAAATTTCCACAGCTTTTTTTGTTGTCATTAAAGAGCATAACAGGCACAATACTACCTCGTAACACCTGCATTTTCAGATTTTGAAGTGTCTTAAAAGTTGACCTCTAGTTCTTCTGGCTGAAGGAAGTAAATTTGAAATATTGTTTGACCATGTTGTTCTTCCTCAGAACACAGGGTCATAGAATCACAGAATGCTTGGGGTTGGAAAGGACCCCTAGAGGTCACCTAGCCCAAACCCCCTGCAGTGAGCAGGGACATCTTTAACTCCATCAGGTTGCTCAGAGCCTCGTCCAACCTGGCCCTGAATGTTTCCATTGGTGGGGTCTCCACCACTTCTCTGGGCAACCTGTTCCTGTGTTTCACCACCGTCATCATAAAAAATTTCTTCCTTATATCCAGTCTAAACCTACCCTCCTTTAGTTTAAAACCATTACCCCTTGTCCTGTCACAGCAGGCCTTGCTAAAAAGATTGTCCCCATCTTTCCTGTAGGCCCCCTTTAAGTACTGAAAGGCTGCAATCAGGTCTCCCTGCAGCCTTCTCTTCTCCAGGCTGAACAACCCCAACTCTCTCAGCCTGCCCTCATAGGAGAGGTGCTCCAGCCCTCGGATCGTTTTTTTGGCTATGGGAGAATAGAAAAATCTCGAAGGCATTCCCTGTGGAATGAAGAAGCCCCATCCTGCCCCTCAAATGTAGCCCCTAGTGATTTAAAATACAGATGAAGACTAAACCAGAAGATGCAAGACAGAAAAACGTAGGTCTAAACACTAAATGTAGTCCATGAATCTATGCTACAGGGGCTCACCCACCCACGGCCCCGGTGGTAGGGTGATCAGGAAAGGTCAGGTTGGCTTCCCGCAAGCATTTCTTCCCCGAGCATCTGCTGTGTGCTGTTTGCATGCTTAGCCTTTAGTGTTACTTATCCATGTGTTCTCCAGCCAGACTCCGGAGGTGAGCTGTGCCATCTATAGGCAAGGACAGCAGGACTCTGTCTTCGTCCATCACCTCTGATCTATCAAAGCAGAGGCAGAACAGCACGTGGGTGCACACGCGCCTACCAGGAAACCCGCACTGCCTGTTGTTA